GCTGCCCACCCAGCGCCGGCGAGCCTGGGCCGGGCTCCGGGCTCCTCTAGCGTATAGAATGCAAAGCGTTTGATACATATTTTTTGGATTTTTTTGCCTTTTTTTCCCCCTCCCCCTCCCTCTCCCCAGAGCGAGAAAGCAGAAGTGAATGAAAAAAAGTCTAATATTTTTGTTCTTTAACCATGTAACTGCAGATATGAGCCAACATCATGGAATGAAAAAAAATAATGTAAAGTAGAGCATTCGTGTGTATCACAAAAATACAATAAAAACTTTTTTTTTCCTTTTTTGTCCTTTTTTTTTCCTTTTTTTTTTAACGTTTCCTGTGAACTCCATGCCACGCCGGCCTCCTGCCCGCTCTGCCCTGCACCCGGCCAGCTCGGAGGGCTCTGGAGAATCAATGCCTACAACCAGCAAACGGTTTCTGCTGACTCAGCAAAGGTGTGTGTAACAGGGGGGCCTGCAACCAGGGCAAGATTTTGATTTTTTTTTTTTTTTTTAAACTCAGTTCATACATTCTCCTGACTTCCAGATAACTTCGATGGAGCACTGTTACCTTCTATTTTTCTTTTTTAACCCCTTCCATACAATGGACAAACGCACCAAAGCCTGCACGTACGAACAGAACCTCTTTTACAGCATGTAATACTGTGTTTTAAGTCCTTCCTTTGCGTAAAATATTGACATAATTCACTGAAGGTATCAAAAATATACCCTGTAGACCAATACAATTTACAATTGCCTTTTCTCACCATTCAGAAAACAAAGCACTTCAAGCACCCGAGCCCCTCCGCGGGCAGCGCGCCAGCCAGCCCCGGGACGTCCCTGCCCGCTCCCATCGGAGCCCGGGATCGCTTCCACCAAAGGGACCAGGATTTTTGTTTTTTCAGAAACAGCTCTTCGCTCCCTCCCCTGCCCACTCAGCCCAGCCGCCTCTGGAGCACGCTGAGACCGCTCCGGCGCCGATACGTCTTGCGACGTGGGCACGAGGGGCTGCCAGCCCTCAGATCAGCCGGGGCGAACCAAACTGGGGCGGTTCCATCCTATTTCGCTTCTTAAAACATCTAGATGTATTTTGTTTTAACCTGCTCAAGGTTTTGCATTTCTGCGGCACAGCCCCACGGCCGGGATGCGGAGGAGCATCCCACAGCCCCTCACCCGACGCCGTGGGAGCGTTGGAGCGCGCCGGGACGTGGGCGCTCCGGGGGTGCGGCCGCTCGCCGTCCG